ATACACCTACCTGCTAAATGCAAACAATCCAAGATCGACCAGACTATGCCAGACTCATCCTGAAGGGAACGAGAGGTGCCGCTGGCATGCTTTGAGTAAAAGATGATTATGAAGCTTTTGGAGGTTTCTGGTCCATGATAGATGCATGATTGCGGTGTCAGTCGTGTGTGTAGAATTGGAGCACTGCACTGGTACAGTAAAAAGATCCCGTTGACTGAGGGGCATTGACTGGGAGAACATGTGTGTCCATTCAAAGAACTGCTGAGCGGAGCAGCCGGGCGAAGCTGAGGTTGCAGAAGGTGAACTTGAAGGCACAAAGCGCAGCAGGCTATGACATGTTCTTGTCGCACACCTGGCACACCTCAGGAGGGCACGCATGGACAAAATCCGCTGGCGAAGTGGTGTCAAACAGGGGGAATGAGGGCAGCCTCCAAAATTGATCCTGCCAAATATCATTTGATCCTCAACATCATACCCAGACACCTCCCCCAGTCCGGTGTGCACGTGCCGGTCGTTTGCTCAGACGGTCGTACGCAGCCGTTTCCCTTCAACGCACAGGAGGGAAGGTGGTCCAAGAAACATGCTTCACTGACTCACCTGACTTCGTAGGTGGTCCAAGAAACCTGACTTCGGGGTGAGGGTGCCGGGCCAGGGGTGTCCTATAGCTCCTTAGAGGTAGGTTAAGGGATGTCCATGAACCACCCCTTACTCTGAGGGCCCTGGTATATAAGTATACTATATGGATTAAAAGATTCTGTCTTGAGAACCAGGACTTGAGTCACATAGGACCAGGACTTTGACTTTGGACTTTGTTGACTTTGTTGCTCAAGTAGTCAATCAAGTAGTCTGGAGTATAGACTCAGTTCAAGGAGTATAGATAAAATATGCTTGGGACATGACATCCAGACCATAATCACATCTAAGATATAGACCATATGTCTGGAAATATAGACATCTAAGTCTAGGCTTTCAGTTTCAGATGCTTGGCTGCTGACCATGCCGTGGGCAGCTGTGGCAACGCAGCGCAGCAATCAGGACACCTGTTTTCCTTTCGTTTCCCCGAGTCGAGTTGGTCAAATCAGGGGGGCATGCCCCTGGATGAATTTCACTGCCCACTCCAGATCTTCAGACCACCAACCTGCGGCAGTTCTTCTTTGTTTTGACTTAAACATACTTGAACCAACCTGGGGTATTATTTTTTGGGGGTTGTTTTTTTGAGCATATTGTTTTCTTTCTTGGCCTTCAAGCTGGAGTGGCATCTAAGTGTCATTCACAGGGGCCTACAAGCCCATCTTATCACACTCCTGCCGTGCCATCTCGCGAGCTTTTGCACGGTCAGAAGACTTTGTCAAAACACTTCTGTATACTCTGCTGTATACCCGGTTGCGTGTCGCAGGCTTGTACTTGATGTCCTGAAACAATGGAGCTTCTAGTAAAAGAACATAGAAGCAAACAAACAATCATGTTCAAACCAATGTTAAAATGTCAGGATTGTTTCACGCTCATGTTACCCAACCCCTCCTTCCCTTCAGTCTTTTGCTCTTCCTTTTTTTTGGCTGCTGCTTTTGCCTTTGCCTTTGCCTTGGGCTGTGCTGCCTTGCTCTGCTTTTTGCTCTTGGCTTTGGGAGTTGGCTTAGACTTGGATCTTGCCTGGCGCTTGGGAACAGCCTTGGCTTTGGGAGCACCAGACCCTGCAGCGTTCTTCGCAGCCTTTCCTCCACCCTCCCTGCGCTTTGGTGCAGCCTTTGGAACAGCCTTTTGTGAAGATGCTGGTTCAATGTTTTCATCCTCCCCGAGAGAGATGTAGCCATCCACAAAGCCACATACTCCATTCCAAGGCTTTTGGACCTTTTTCTTCGCGGTGGGATCAATGTAGTATCGAGCCACTACCTGAGGGAAGCTACCATGACCAAAACCAACACTCGCTGGAGTACTCCCCCCCACCAACCTCACACACCCACACACACTTAGTTTGGTCAGCTAGGCCTTCTTTGGGTCTTCCAGGTGATTGTCAGTCAAATCCACAGTGTCGATGTGTTTTTTCTGCAATGTGATGGCCTCATTCTCAACTTGGTTGGCATCACAGTCAGCCAGCTTTTGGAGCTCCACGTTGTCACCCAAGGCATCAGCCTCACCAACCGAGTCCTGCAAATCAACAACGCGACAATATTGAAAGGTTACAGAATCAAAGGTTGCAGAACGGAGTGTTCAGGTGGGGCCGGTCCTGGCTCAGTTGGTCTCCCAAGCGAAGGGTTGGAGCATTCAGCAAATCATCATCATCATCATGGTCAGCCTGGTCCACCTGGTCTCCCAAGGCTGGAGCGTCATGGGTGGCCTGCTCCACCCTCTCTCTCAGCTGGAGGGCTTCTTGGACCTCCGGTCTGCCTTGAGACTCTGCGGTGGATTCGATGACCAAAGCATCCATGTACTGGATTGCCATCTTCTCTGTCTCAGGATCGATGTCCTACCATGATGACTTTAATAAGTTTGTTTTGCAAGGTGAGCCTGCCAACACTGCGCAGTTCTGCTTCAACCAAATAAATTAAGAATTCACCCAGCCTCCATCGCTTCATCTCCCTGCTTATGATGAAGATTGCCATCAGCAGCGCAAGATGTCTCCATTGGGATTTCCTTAAAACTTAGTTTTTGACTCACGGACAGAGAAGAGATCACACAACACGCACAACAAGCTCAGCATGAGTGAGTAAGAAAAGCACTTGGCACAAGAACAAGTTGCCGGGCGGTCCGATGTGCGGGCCAAGTACTGGAGACATTGGGTCACCTGTTCATCAGTCACCTCACGAGGCACGCGGTGCGAGGCACCTGGTGGCATAGTCACAATGTTGACTGGCTGCTCGGTCTCCAATCCCTCAACCTCGTCAGGTTTCACAGTGTCAATGTCTTCAGAGCCACTGCTATCCTGGCCGTTTGCATGCTTTCGCTTCCCACCAGTGCCCTTCTTGTGGCCACTGCCATCCTTCCAGGGATAGGTTGATAGGTTGATAGAAGTTAGTTTTTATTAGTTCAACTTTCATTAGTGCTCAGGCCATGGTCCTTTGAAGATTTGCGCGTCTTTGGAGTGCCTGACCCTCCACGAGAGTGCTTCTTCTTGCCTTTGGGAGGCTGCTCATCACCAAGTTGGTCTTCTTCTTCATCATCATCATCATCTTTTCCTGCAAAGTCCTTGAAGATGTCCTGGAAATCACCCTTCTTCTGTCGTTTCCTAGAAGGCTTCTTCATAGGTTGTTGTTCATCATCATGCTCATTGTCCTCTTCTTCTTTGCCTTTCTTCTTCTCTTTAGCTGCGCCGCTCTTGTTTGGCTTCATTTTGCTCTTTGCTGTCTTTTCCTCCTTGTCAGTGTCTGCGCTTTTGTCACCACTTTGATCTTCAGAGGAAGACCGCAAATCGCAGCGTTGAAATAGTGAGGAACCACCTTAAGGATGGCAAGAGCTGTGGGAAGAGCATGGCAAAAGGTAATATAGTGATGGCCATTGAGTTATAGCACAAACTTAAAATTTGGAAAAGATAAAGGGGTGTATGGTGGACCAGGAGGATTGATTTAGTCTTTTCTTGGAGGATCCCACACAGATTCTTTGGGTGAAACAAGGAAACCAGAAGCTTCAACATTGAAAACTGCCAAGACTGCAATCATGACCGGAACCAGCCTCCAGGATTTGCTGGTGCTGCAGCTCTTGAAGTAGGTGAAGGCGCCCCGGATTTCGAAGGTTCATTCTTGTCCAGGTTGTCAATCACATCCTGATAGTTGCCTCAGCTTTGACTTCAAAATAGGGAAGAAGTCAAAGATTCAAAACCTCAGCTTCTATCACCCAAGCAAGCTGCTGATATCAAACTTGGGGACTGTGAGCGAATTGCCACGAGGTGTCACTGTCACTTTGCCCGGTGGGGAGCAAAAGTTGTCAGCCTTCATTGAGCTGAAGCGTTTGCCTTCAGGTTGAGACCTTGACCCAAAAAAAGCCTTGGTAAGTGGATGTGATCATGGGTGGCAACATGTTTCAAGTTTTCAAGACCAAATTGTTCAAGAAACATGCTTCTTGCACAATGTAGGAAAAATCTTTTTTCTGACACCACCATCTTGCAGCATGTATTGCGCCAAGATGTTCAAGCGTGGTTGGCTCCCGCACCCCACAACACTGAGGACAGTGTTGAACCATAGGTCCAGCTTCGTAACACAGCTGCCCAAGAGACACTGCACAACAACTGGTGTAATTATTATATCACAATATATACTATATTATTGTTGGTTGTGTTTTAGTTGGAAGATGTTGGAAGGGATTTGGCAGTTCATCTATTTGTTTGGACTTGGGGCAGCATCCCTGACTATGGGCAGCTTATCTAAAATCTAAAAGAGTTGATAGAGTTCATCAACCCTGCATTCAAGACTGCCTGTCAGCAGTGCGACAGGCCTGATGGGCACCATGAGCTTGACGTTTGCATCATTGGGGTCTGGCTGCAGCCTGGTTTTGCAAGATGCGGGTTGCTTCTTTGCAAATAGAGTTTAATCTCTATTTGGCACTCTTGTTTTTATCTTTGAACTTGAAAGTGCCATGCCTTGTTCGCCATACAATCTTCACGTTGGGGTTCGTGCGGATCTTGGTCAAACTTTTGAACTTGGAGCCATAGGTGAGAGCATTTGGTGAAGCCTGGGGAAGCAAACGCGCGTGACATGATAATACTTTAACCTATACAGATGATAACACAGGGAACTATTGAAATAATGCAAACAAATGGAACATGAACAGAAGATCCTGGCCTTCTTGCGTTTGGTACTTGTCTTGACCGGGTCCAGAGCAAACACCACCTTTTTGTCGGCATTGAATGCTAGATTGCCATCATCCAACTTGTCAATTTTGTGAGCAGTGACCTTGACAAAGACCTCTCCAAGATCTTCCAATGCCTTGATGATCTCCTTGTAGGTCATGACCTCCCAAATGTTTTGAGGGAACTCAAAGCAAGCAATCGCCAAAAGAGCTACAACACTTCAACAGCACAAACAACTTGTTGTGACTACAAGCACAGGGGTGCCCCAAAGCTTCATGTCCAGAACGTGAAGGGCCTTCCCAAACACATCAGACTTGCGGATATGGTCAGGAAGCCGCTTGTCCACCTCTAGAATGCACTCATCAGTGCAGCTGGTGACCTTGTAGCAGAGCCACCGCCCTGTGACATCGCTCATGATATCAGCTGCTTCAGGTCCCTCTGCGAAGTCGCCACTTCCAAAACCAAACAGCTCACAAGGGCCGCTGACTTCAATCGACTCCACATCCTTCTTCTTTGGGTCTTCCGCTCCAAGCCACAAAGTGTCTTGACCCTTGTCATAGATCAGCCGGTAGTTGCCACATGACAAGGCCAGCCTGGGGAAACACACATCACAGCCACAAAGAAACAACCAAAGCGCTTTTCAAACATCAAAGCAGTTTGTCCAAGGCACGGCTCATCAAACTTCTCCTCCTGGTCCTTGGCCTTCACGCTTGACTCCACCTTGAGCTTCTTGCGAGTGGCCTGGACACTGCCCTCTGCACCATCATCGTCATGTTCATTTCCAGGGCCACCACGCTTCACACCTCGCGGGTTGTACTTCTCGTTGTGGGCCTTGAGCAGCGCTTGGAAATCATCACCATGCACAGAACACTTGGACCAATAAGAGACCAGGTTCTGCTTGAGCACCAAAGTGCCATTTGCCAGCCCCACGCACACTTCATAGTTGGGTGCAGGCAGCTCCTGCTTAGCACTGAGCTCAGAGACCACGTTTGAGAAGTTTGGAAACGCTGGCAATCGAAGCTCACCAGCACGGGCCATTGCATATACCTTTTGGGCAACCAATGAAGAGACAAATGATGTCTCATGGACTGTGTGGCAGGCAGTGCCACAGGCAAAGCGCTTTCCTGCCATGTGGGGTTGATGAACTCTACATGACAACTACTGCAGGCACAACCTGAATCAACTGAATCTAGTGGAGCTCCTTCAGAAGCCCTTCGAAGAGCAAAGCATGCTGGCCAACCATCATAACCCAGCATGTCCAGAATCACCACTGAAGATTCACTTGAGGTCCCATTGAGCAGGCCGGTCACCACAGACTCCACAATGCTCTCGCCGGCCAAGTGCTGACAGCTGAAAATTTGTCAGCAAAACACACAGGTTGGTGACAAACAGACAGACACCCTTTCCATGTTAGAGAGGCTTTAAAACGCTGTTGCCCTGCCTGCTTGAGCTCTTGAACCCTAGTCATGCGACTGGGAACTGCTCCACATTTGCTATTCGGCTTGTCTACCTTCACCATATCAACCCTTGGTGGAAATGCATTCAAAGCTGGTTGCAACCACTAGAATCAGCAGTTTATTTGACATTTGATTTGCTACCATGCAACCTGGGCAGCATATTGATGCTTGAAACCACGCCACAACGCCACACATTGCTTTTCCTGAAGTGATTGTTCTTGTCATTGCTGGTCACCATCAGTGCCGAGTGGTAGCCCTCACGCACTCCATAGACTGACGTTGGTTCAAAGACTAGCGTCACTGGGCGAACCTTGGCAGCTTCAAAGGAAACATAACAACAAAGCGCAGCAAGGTTTGACACATTATGATCGAGGTCTGAGGATAAAGCTTTCAGGTCGCGGGAGTGTGCCATGAGTTGGCATTGGATCTGGTAGCGGTAGTCACGGAGAATGGCGTCAGAAGAAGTGTGGGCTGTCTCATCAGATTCTTTTTCTTCTGGTTCGGGGTCAGCATCCCCATCTTCTCCTAAAAGTGTGCAACACATTTAAACAGCTGACAACTTACATGTTGACCCTATCACTGACTGTGTCCTGCAGCGCAGTCAGATTTGTCATCATCCAACTCATCTCCATCCTCACGCCTTGTTTCCAGACGTTTAGCGCGCAGAAGTTTGACATGTTTGCCAACTTCAAAAGAACTATAGCAGCAAACATAATTCCAAGCTGCTTTGTTGGTGAGCTTCGAAGGTCTCCAGCCCTGTTTGGGAGCAGCACAATCCCGGTGCAGGTACGCGGGTTTGCATGACACAGCTGGGTGAGCTGCTCCAAGCAAAACGTGTTCAGGCGAGCAGACATCACCCCTTGGGTGACATAGTTGCACCAGAGGATGATGCGTTCTGAGTCTGGCCGCCTGATCCCGTTTCCAAATCCACTCAAGGTTTCTTGGAGCCACGGTTCGTATTTGGCTGCAAAGATGGTAGGTCCATCGCTCTCCACACCTTGAAATGTTGAGGCAACATCCACACTAAACATTTCTCTTTAGCCTAATTAGGACTTGCAAGACCAGCGCACAAAATAGAATGCAAACAGGAAAACCCAAATGAACTGTCTTTGTCATGCCCTTGTCCTTGTGCACTCTTCGGAATGCTGATGTCCCAGGAAGGAGCTGTTTCAGCCACATAGTCGCCGACCAGCTTCCAAGCAGTGTCGTGCATTTTCTTCAGGGTTGGGTGTGTGAGGCTAAAACTAACCTGCAAGACCAACACCTGACTTACCCAAGCAAACTTGATAATTGGCACACCCCACCTCCAGGCTGTGGACAAGAACTGAACGGGCACGATGCACATTCATCGCAGAAGCAGCCACGTGTTTGTCATGGACAACGTGGTCGTTGTCCAAACTGGTGGTGAACAAGTTGTAAGCCGCGCGAATCGAATTCTTGCGAGCATCGTTGACACTGCTTTGCGCGCTGATCAGAAGGTCTTCTGTTTGTTTCCCGCTGGCTTCTTGCACAAAAGCTAGCTTGGTATAGTCGAAGTTTGGGTCAAGACCCTTCCTTATTTCATTGACCAATTGGGGCTGCAATTGGACTGTGACTTGCATCCCACAGATTCAAGCTTTTTGTTTGGTGCCAAGCTTCAACTGAACACGCAGTTCTGCATCCAAGGACCTGCGGATGGATGGACAATGGTCTGGTGATGCATCGCATAGATCTACTTTTGCTTTGGCAGCTGGGGCAATGGTAAGACTGAAGGGCTTAGACCTAACCTTCCCAATGGCCCAAGAGCTGTTCTTTGACTACATCGACCAATGCATTGGGTTTTGAATGCCTAAATGTTTGGCAGCCATGTTCTTAAAACCCAAAACCTGGTGCTGTTACAACCAGCAACAGTCCTACTACACTGATTGAGATTCAGAAAGAGGCTAGCGCATTGGGGTGAACCATTTCCCCTAGACATGTCTTAGCACTAGGTGCATGTCTTTTGGTTTCTTAAATTTGTTTAAAGCCACGTTCGCAGTGTGACACAATGCATCCTGTTTGAAAGTTTCCTGATTTGTAGAAGACTTGAGGCTACTGCCCTCCAGTACTGCAGTTTGTTGCCAGACATCCAGGAGCGTTCTTGTTTTTGTTTACAATGGTTGAGGAGTACTGCAATAGAAAAAACACAGGAATTTTTGATTCCCTGGCAAGTTTCAATACTCCCAGATACTTGGAAAACAGTTGCTGTACTCTGGGAAAAATTCTTTAGTGCTGTGAACAAAAACAGATCCGAGAACTGCATTTAACTCTTCCAGGAATTTGGAATGTATATAAGTTTTTGGCAGTCAGTTCTTACCCACAAATCTAGCTTTTCTTTTCTGGAGGTCTGGGAGTACTGCGGTTTTCTTTTCTGGAGGTCTGGGAGTACTGCGGTTTT